GAGTGTGTGTGCGTGTGCGTGTGCGTGAGTGCGTGTGCGTGAGAGTGTGTGCGTGAGCGTGTGCGTGAGTGCGTGTGTGAGAGTGTGAGTGTGTGCGTGAGTGAGTGTGAGAGTGTGTGATTGCTATTTCCACGACATCGCGACTGAAACAACATACAAACTATATGGCCGTGATAATCTCACGTACTATTATGTGCTTTATTCAAAGTTAAACATGTCTGTGTGAGTTTTAATGTCATTTTGCGTGACATTTATTGCCATACTGAGCCATACATGGCAATAGTTTACCTCAGATCTTGAAAATAAATTAAGGCAGACGTGTACGTTAAAACTGTGAACTCGCTGCGAACCAACGAGCGCATTCCATAACAAAGATGGTATCAGTCACTCAGTATGTGCATTTAATGATGTTAAAAAGGTTGGATATTTATGAATTAGATTATAAAGCCATTTCGTTGCGAATGCAGTTCGCTTCCAGAGAGACTCCGCCCACACACGCTTCTGATTGGCTGTGATATGATTCTGTTGCGTCTGGTGTGGACACACAAAGTGCTTGTCGCTGGAATCTTGTTGCGTCGCGTGTAGTTATTAGATTAGGTTATTAGGTGTTATTAGATGTCCCGGAGCGGTTGACCAAAGCTCACTCTGAATGAAACATACACTCTGTTCAGTTTCTGCATAAAGCGAGGCAGCGTGTGAAAACAGCTTCTGTCATTGCAGCGTCTGAACCGAACCTGAAGCTGCGTTCACGGCTGAAGCAGAAGGTGTCGGAGCGGAGGAGCAGCCCATTACTGCGCCGCAAAGACAGTCCCATCAGCACGCTGAAGAAACGCTCTCTGGACATGGCAGGTGATGCTCAAGATGCGCTCACATGTGCTTGCGTGACTGTTTCCACACAGACAAACTCTTGTCTCTTGTTCTGACGTCTGTAGATTCGGCGTGTAGCAGCGCTCCTGGATCTGGACCCAGTTCCCCAAACAATAGCTCACACGGAAACCTGTGCGAGAACGGCATCAGCGTGACTGAGGTGAGGCTAGTTTACTGCATCAATGTGCCTGTGTGTCTATGTCTATGTGTGTGCACAGAAGAAGAGTTGTTTCATAAACTCGTGGATGATTGGGTTTTACACACAACAAAATTCCTCTTTTCCTCTACATTTCACCTCTGCTCTAGCTTGTTTCCCAGTCTAGCTTTCTAATAAAGCTGGCACTCTACACTATGAATACTGTTGGCTCTGTGGTGAATTGCTTATGTTTGTCTATTGTAAGTTGCTTTGGATAAAAGTAGGATGTAACGATTAGGGCTGGGAAAATAAATTGATGCATCGCGAATCGAGAAATGATTCAGCATCGACTCTGAGATTATCTGAATGCATGGCGATTCTTTCTCGAGTGGATTCTGAGCTTAGTTTTGAACAGCAGATGGCGCTGCATGCTTTAGAAACAGCCGTACTCTGCTTGTTTCCAAATCCTTACACACACTTGAACATAAAATAATCATTCATAAAATGCAAGGTTGAAGCTAATTACAAAGGTGTTGACAGTGGGCTGTGTTTACATTAATCTGGCGTCATAAAAGCATTCTGAGCCGAGGTGAAATTACACCCGAAGCGTGAAACAAATAACGCGTTATACGGAGCCACTAAACGGTTAGCCGCTTGCTAGCGGTAGCCTGTTGCATTACAGTACATGAACGTTCACTTACCACATACACAGAGTAAGGAGAAATGTCTGATAGGACGATGGCGAATGATTTGCAGATCCTGAGCACCAATGACAAACATCTGATCTTCTCAAATGATTGCGGGAGAGGGGGTGGTGGGGGGGTCACGATGTCAGCTTAACATCATGATGTCTGTCAGCCATCATCGTCTATCGGCCCAACCCTAGTATATTCATAATCTATGACAAAAATATATCATAAACTAGGTTAGTGGATAATTCGGCAGCAAAAGTTATTCTAGAAAAATCAGTGCACAATAATTTTAGAAATCCAACCTATTTTGTGGGGAACAAATAAAAGTGTTGCACTAAATATAGTAAAATGTTACACATTGCTATTTGTATTATTATAAAATCCATTATTAAAAACATTTATGAATGTATTTATATATAAGTATATACTATAAAATGTAAATACGTTTCTTTTAAATGTATAGCATATTTTTTAATAAGGCAACAACATATGATAGATACGATAGGACAAAACAAATACAGTGCAGCACGAACTGTTTTTATACAGTCTATGAGCACGAAGCGCTTACAATGTGCGCATCCGGAGTCACAGCACGCAGCGCTTTGCATTAAAAAGTGTAAAGCACAAAGGAAAGAGAGTAGTGTATTATATTTAATATATTAATAATATTAACAAAAAATATTAAATATAATATTCAATATTATATTTATGTGTTATATCTGTGCAACAGTTATTGAGCCTTTCTTTTAACATTTTTACATTTCAGTTACTATGCGCGTTAAAAACAATTTATAGTCTTACATGATTAGCTGTTCAAAAGTGTGCTTGATTACCTGATTGGCTGTTTGGCGTATGTAGACATGTATTTACAAATCAAGTATAATGGGAACACAGAATGATCTTGGAGAGAGCTTTACCGAGCTGACTGCTGTAAGTTAACCGAACGCGACCAGGGTTTAAAGGCTGAACGAATGACTGACAGCCACAGCGGAGAAAAGAGTTTGTGTGAACTTTAATGTAAGGACTTAAATATTCATATGTAGCTCACATTAACGGGATACGGTTTCTACGTGTATTTACGCTTTGATTTGAATGCAAACAGCGCATCCGTGCAGCGCGGCTGACACAGAAGAGCGTACGCTGCTTGATTCAGCGGATGTTCTCTAAAATGGCGCTACGGTGATGCGGAGAGACACAGAGGAGGCTCCTGCATCAGCTACACCACATGCATGCATCGTAGCACTCTCATGAATGGCAGCAGAGAATGACACTGAAGAGAAGTCGTTTTTATTTTCTTTGTGCGCAAAAGTATTCTCGTAGCTTCATAACGTTACGGTTGAACCACTGATGGCAGATGGACTATTCTGACGATGCTTTTCATCCTTTTCTGGACCTTGACAGTGTAATTTACTCGGCAGTCAATGTGACAGTCACAAGCCTCCCGGTTTTCATCTTACAGCGGTAACCAAGGAAACACTGTATGGCTGCTGTTCATAAGCGCAGCTCTGCTTTGTTTACAGCGGTAACCAAGGAAACACTGAATGGCTGCTGTTCATAAGCGCAGCTCTGCTTTGTTTACAGCGGTAACCAAGGAAACACTGAATGGCTGCTGTTCATAAGCGCAGCTCTGCTTTGTTTACAGTGGTAACCAAGGAAACACTGAATGTCACTTCACTCAGTCGTGGTATTGAATGTGGAAGAGAGCGCTGTACATTCCCCCCACCTACAATCCCTGCCGGTGCGAGACTCGAACCCGCAACCTTTGGGTTATGAGTCCGACTCCAACCATTAGGCCACGACTTCCCACAGCATAAACTGTGCACAGCTCTGCTTTGTTTAATTAGTCCAAAAGCTTATCTGTACTAGGCCAATGTTTCAATATTAATGATAGAAGCTCTAAAATTTATAGTTAATAATTATAAATAACTCTTCATTGATTTATTTTGTTTTGTGTTTTATTTTTATTTTATTTTTTTTGCCTTTATTAAGACAGTACACCTGGAGAGAGGAGTGGAAGAGAAGGAGAGAGAGGGGGATTGGGAAAAGACCCCAAGCCAGGGCTTGAGCTCGGCTCACAGAAGGGCGATCGTGCTATATGTCGGAGCGTTGCCCATAAAGCTATCAGCTCCGACATTAAAAAAAAATAATAATTACGTTATTTGTAATAATAAGAAAAAGGTTACTTAAAAGTAGGGATGTAATGATTAACCGCAAGCCGGTCGAAAATCGATTCAAATATGTGACGATTCAAATTGGTTGAGATACAATTGGAGTAGGAGTTATGTATCTCTGAGGGGAACTGACTGTCTTTAGAAAAGTTTACGTGATATTTTCTTTGCGGTTCCTATTGCTGTTCATAAGCACCACCTGCTGTCAGAGAGTAAATCTGCGTCTTATTCAGCTCATCTGCTGTTTCGTTCAGATATGTTTTATGTAGTATAGTTTCACAAAACTAAAGTCAGACCATTCTGTTTTTGCTTCAAATTAAAAAAAATTACAATACAATTTAGATTAAAATCTGCTCATGCCACATGTTTATCTTTGTTTGGATCATGATTACAGTGGTTGCCTCTAATTTCAAATGGAAAGAGCACAGACAAAGCCTTAGTTTGTTCATATTAAGATATTTCTTTTATTTGTGTAACTTTCTTGTTTGATTTGTTTGTTTTAAAATTTCAATTTAGTTTTGGTGTATTTCATTTTCACGAAGAAACGTGCAGCAATAGCCTAATAAAACAACACCTTTTAATTTACTGTATAATGTCTTTATATAAAAAAAACGTGAGAAAATCGAATCATGAAATCAAAATTGCGAATCGAATCGTGAGTTGAGTGAATCGTTACATCCTTACTTATCCAACAGTATAGCAAAATGTTGTTGCTGAGACAAGGTACTCTTTTCTAAATCTTGAGAGATCACTTGAATTTCCTTAACAGGTGAAATTCTCTTATACTTTTCTGTCTCAATTTGCCGTTTTAGTCACATTACACTGTTATTTTGCAATTTCTTTAAAGAAGGCAGATATAAATGCTTTATGATGTCACACTTCATTCTAGCCCACTTAAGAATAAAATCCATTCAATTTTAACCACTTTATGAGCACATTTGACTGAAAATTGCACTGTTCACAGAGATTTCCAATGCATACCTATGGGAGTTTCTTGAAAGCCTTTCTGAGAAAACAACCAGAGCTTAGCAAATGGTCAATTGTTAAAGATTTGAAAGTTATTACTACCCTCCCTCTAAGAATTTAGTTCTTTGTAAGCTCAGAAGTCCTTATTTCCTTTGTAAATTTGACTTAAAGGGCTTAAAAAGCCACCTGTTTAGCAGTTGACTCAACACTGCCAATAAAAACCTTACTCACTGATGGCAGATGGACTATTCTGACGAGGCTTTTCATACTTTTCTGGACCTTGACAGTGTAATTTACTTGGCAGTCAATGGTGACAGTCACAAGCCTCCCGGTTTTCATCAAAAATATCTTAAATTGTGTTCCAAAGACGAACAAAGCTTTTACGGGTTTAGAACGACATGGGGGTAAGTGATTAATGACAAAATTTTCATTTTGGGGTGGAGTAACCCTTTAAGCTATCGTATGGCTTCAGAAGTAACACAGAATAATACGCACAATCTCAGATTTGGATCGGCCCTCTCTGACCGATACCCGATCCAGCAAAAAATGGCAGTATCGGAGCCGATACTCGATATGAATATCGGATCGGCGCATCCCTAGCGGTAACCAAGGAAACGCTGTATGGCTGCTGTTCATAAGCGCAGCTCTGCTTTGTTTACAGCGGTAACCAAGGAAACGCTGTATGGCTGCTGTTCATAAGCGCAGCTCTGCTTTGTTTACAGCGGTAACCAAGGAAACGCTGTATGGCTGCTGTTCATAAGCGCAGCTCTGCTTTGTTTACAGCGGTAACCAAGGAAACGCTGTATGGCTGCTGTTCATAAGCGCAGCTCTGCTTTGTTTACAGCGGTAACCAAGGAAACGCTGTATGGCTGCTGTTCATAAGCGCAGCTCTGCTTTGTTTACAGCGGTAACCAAGGAAACGCTGTATGGCTGCTGTTCATAAGCGCAGCTCTGCTTTGTTTACAGCGGTAACCAAGGAAACACTGAATGGCTGCTGTTCATAAGCGCAGCTCTGCTTTGTTTACAGCGGTAACCAAGGAAACACTGAATGGCTGCTGTTCATAAGCGCAGCTCTGCTTTGTTTACAGTGGTAACCAAGGAAACACTGAATGTCACTTCACTCAGTCGTGGTATTGAATGTGGAAGAGAGCGCTGTACATTCCCCCCACCTACAATCCCTGCCGGTGCGAGACTCGAACCCGCAACCTTTGGGTTATGAGTCCGACTCCAACCATTAGGCCACGACTTCCCACAGCATAAACTGTGCACAGCTCTGCTTTGTTTACAGCAGTAACCAAGGAAACACTGTATCATTGCTGTTCATGAGCGCCACCTGCTGTCAGAGAGTGAATCTGCATCTCATTCAGCTCGTCTGCTGTTTCTGTTTCGTTCAGATATGTTTTATGTAGTATAGTTTCACAAAACTAAAGTCAGACCATTCTGTTTTTGCTTCAAATTAAAAAAAATTACAATACAATTTAGATTAAAATCTGCTCATGCCACATGTTTATCTTTGTTTGGATCATGATTACAGTGGTTGCCTCTAATTTCAAATGGAAAGAGCACAGACAAAGCCTTAGTTTATATTATGAGATTTCGTGTTATTCATTTGATTTGGGGTTTGTTTTAAAATTACAATTGAGTTTTCACAAAGAAATGTTTAGCAATTTTGTCTGAGAAATAATAAAAAGACACATTTTCATTTCTAATTTGTCTCAAATCACATTTTGTTAAAAAAAATTGTGAGAAAATCATTTTGTGAAATCAGTATTGTATGGCATCGTGAGTTGAGTGAATCGTTACATGCCTAGATAAAAGCTAATGTGTAAATGTGAATGTGCTCCAGTCGTCTCACAGGCCGGCTGGTCAGGACGGGCCGGTTAGTCAGCTGTCGCTCTACACGTCTCCTTCACTACCCAACATCACCCTGGGTCTGCCGGCCACTGCCACCAACGTGAGTGTTCAGATATAACTGAGCTTGTGCTGTTTTCACAATGGGTTAGAAACATTTACTTAACTCAGGTCAGATCCTCTGTATTTGTCTGACTTGAGTAAGTTTTGCCTTTCAAGTAAATTTGTTTTTAAAGGTGGTTTAGATATTTTTACCGGAACATAAACAGTAATTAGAGTGTCTAACGCAGTAGCTCGACCTTTAATGAAGAAATATTATTCACAGTTAATACCGTACTGAACTGATCTGTGTGTGAGAAACGGTCATCATCAACCTGTAACGTGTATTTGTCCACCCGCTTAGGAGCGTTTGGTCAGCACTCATCTTCATTTTGCTTCGTCATGTGATGCTTTGGAAAAGGCTCAGTTTTATTTTGTTGTTGCTTTAACAAGGTGACGTCTACCCAGCCTGACAGCGAATGTTTGTCTGTGACCGGTTTACCCATAAGCACTCCGTTCCTGGTCACCTCTCACCTGCCGTCATTTCTTGGCAATTCGGACACTGCAAACTCCCACAATGCACTGCTGCAGCACATGGTCCTTCTGGAGCAATCAGCCCCACCGAGTCCTTTAGCCGCAGGTGAGTAGAGCTCAGAGTTCTGAGTTTCTGTCCTGGTTTAGTAACAATGATGCAGTTAATTTCAAACCTCTTTATTTGCTACTGGCCCGGATCGCGGAGCGTTTCCCAGGGCCACTGTCAAAGCGTTACATAAACCTGGAATGTGTGAACAGTCCGCTGTTCTTAGTGTCGCTGAGGTGCGGCCCGAGTCAGGGGTCCATCTGGTTAATTAGATCAGAGTCGCTGGCGGCAGGAGGTCAGAGGAACACACTGTGCCAGGCAGAGCGACGTCTTCATGCCAGCACAGGCCCAGAAGAATATGCCTCTAATTAGGGCAGGACAATAATTCAATATTAATATGTATCGCGATATAATTTTTTTCAATAACGGTGATATGATTTTTAAACACATTTCCGATATTTTGATATACATTACCAGTTTCCCATACATTGATTTATTTGTGGCGTTTGACTTCGTTGAATAAACATGAGCACTGCACGTTTCAAAATCATAACAC